CCACGTGTCCCTGCGCCGGGGGCCTGAGGCCCCAGTGCCCCACATGTCCCCCCCCAGCCCAGGACCCAGTGCCCCAGCACCCCACATCTCCCCATGCCCCCATACCAGTGCCCTGGTGCCCCATGTGTCACCGTGTCCCAGGGCCAGTGCCCCGTGTCTCCTCACACATAAGGACTTTGTCCCCAGCATTTCCAGTGTCCCCATGCTCCATCATGACCCATGTCGCCATGTCCTGCCCAGGACATAGGCCCCTGTGCTCCCCATGTCCCCATGTCCCCATGTCCCCGTGTTCCCACATCCCCATAACCCCATGTCCCCATGTCCCCATCTCCCCATGTCATGTCCCCGGCTCCCCATGTCCCCACTCCCCTGTGTCCCCATGTCCCCATGTGCCTGTGTCCCTATGTCCCCACCTTCCCATGTCCCCAGTCCCCCGTGTCCCCATGTCCCCATGTCCCCATGTCCCTGTGTCCCTATGTCCCCACCTTCCCGTGTCCCCAGTCCCCCGTGTCCCCATGTCCCCATGTCCCCGTGTCCCTGTGTCCCTATGTCCCCACCTTCCCGTGTCCCCAGTCCCCCGTGTCCCCATGTCCCCATGTCCCCGTGTCCCTGTGTCCCTATGTCCCCACCTTCCCGTGTCCCCAGTCCCCCGTGTCCCCATGTCCCCATGTCCCCGTGTCCCTGTGTCCCTATGTCCCCACCTTCCCGTGTCCCCAGTCCCCCGTGTCCCCATGTCCCCATGTCCCCGTGTCCCTGTGTCCCTATGTCCCCACCTTCCCGTGTCCCCAGTCCCCCGTGTCCCCATGTCCCCATGTCCCCGTGTCCCTGTGTCCCTATGTCCCCACCTTCCCGTGTCCCCAGTCCCCCGTGTCCCCATGTCCCCATGTCCCCGTGTCCCTGTGTCCCTATGTCCCCACCTTCCCGTGTCCCCAGTCCCCCGTGTCCCCATGTCCCCATGTCCCCGTGTCCCTGTGTCCCTATGTCCCCACCTTCCCGTGTCCCCAGTCCCCCGTGTCCCCATGTCCCCATGTCCCCGTGTCCCTGTGTCCCTATGTCCCCACCTTCCCGTGTCCCCAGTCCCCCGTGTCCCCATGTCCCCATGTCCCCGTGTCCCTGTGTCCCTATGTCCCCACCTTCCCGTGTCCCCAGTCCCCCGTGTCCCCATGTCCCCATGTCCCCGTGTCCCTGTGTCCCTATGTCCCCACCTTCCCGTGTCCCCAGTCCCCCGTGTCCCCATGTCCCCATGTCCCCGTGTCCCTGTGTCCCTATGTCCCCACCTTCCCGTGTCCCCAGTCCCCCGTGTCCCCATGTCCCCATGTCCCCGTGTCCCTGTGTCCCTATGTCCCCACCTTCCCGTGTCCCCAGTCCCCCGTGTCCCCATGTCCCCATGTCCCCGTGTCCCTGTGTCCCTATGTCCCCACCTTCCCGTGTCCCCAGTCCCCCGTGTCCCCATGTCCCCATGTCCCCGTGTCCCTGTGTCCCTATGTCCCCACCTTCCCGTGTCCCCAGTCCCCCGTGTCCCCATGTCCCCATGTCCCCGTGTCCCTGTGTCCCTATGTCCCCACCTTCCCGTGTCCCCAGTCCCCCGTGGGGGGCAGCGCCGGGGGGGCAGCGCTGAGCGGTGCCGCCCCGCAGGTGAAGCTCACCCAGGAGGTGCGGGTCCACCTCCTCGAGCAGCTCTCGGGCCTGCAGGGCAAGCAGCAGCGGGACGCCGAGCTGCTGGAGGACATCAGGTAGGGTCCCGTCCCCCCCGCGGGCTGAGACCGGCCAGCTCATCCCACGCATGGGGCAGGGGCCAGCCCGCCGGGCACGGCTCACCTTGAGCCTGCCACGTCGAGGTCGTGGGCTCCATCACCCGCTGGGGTGGCCGGATGGGGACATGCCGGTGCAGGGCGGTGGCAGGGGGGTGACGGCAGGGGGGTGATGGCAAGGGTGCCCCGTCCCTGCCCCCGGCGGGGGCACTCGCCTGCCCCGCCTGCCCTCTCCCCACAGGTCCTACAGCAAGCAGAGGGCCGCCATCGACAGGGAGTACGGGCAGGTAAGGAGGTGCCCCCGCTTTCGGGACCGATGGTGCGGGGACGTGCAAGCACCGAGCCCCGTCCGTCCCACGCGGGGTGTTCGGCAGCGGGGCACGGCCCCACACCGGCGATGCCATGGGCAGCGTTGGAAATCATCCAAGCAAAGCGGGGCTTGGCCGCTCCGTGCCGGACACGGAGGCCGGTGGCGGATGGGCTCAGCAATTTCCCTGCTGGGGGGGAGGATGGACCACGTTAGGGCACCCACTGGGGTGCTTTGCTGGGCACAGCACGGCCCAAACCTTGGGTGTTTTGGGGGCCCTGAGGGAAAACCTTGTGAGGGGAGGCAACCGCCTGGCTCTGCTGTCTGCTGGGTCATCGCAGGGCTCCGCTCTGGAATGTCAGAGCCTGGGTTTGCTCCGTGAGATGTCCCCGCAGCAGAGATGTGCCCCCCCCTTCCTGCAGCCGGGCACCACGCCAACCCTGCTCCTTCTTGCCCCTCAAGCGGGCTGGGGGTACCGTCCCCCCTGGGTGGAGGTCATGGCATGCTTGGCTTTGCTGGGGGCTCCTCTGCTCTGCCTCTGCAGCCGGTGTCCCTCACTGGTGTCCCCTTGCTGGTCCCCTGTTCCAAAAGCTGCAGTGGGGGGTCCTCTCTTGGTGGTGGCTGCTCCCCAAAAAGGTTTTCCTCTGGGGAGGGTGTCCCTGCTGTCCCAAAGCCACTGTGGAGGGTTGTGTCCCCTGCTCTGAGGACACCCATGAGGTGGGCAGCTGGTGGGGGAGGGGGGCCTGGTTTCATCCCCAGAGTGGGACGGTGGGGCGCTGGGGTGCGCGGGAGGGGTGAGTTCCTGAAGAGAGACTGGCAGCGGGGCCGCGGCGAGGCCAGCGACTCGAGGTGGGCTGGGGACAAGGGGTTGGGGACATGAGGCTGGCACTGGCTGTGCCCATCCATGGCCCTCCCAGCTGGGAGACACCTAATGCCAATCAGGATTCGGGCTTCCTGGGGATGCAGCCCTGGGTGGGATGTCCCCAAGGATGTGGTACCCGACTCGGAGGGGACCGCAGGGGCTGGGGGTGCTGGCCGTCCTGCTGGGCACCCCGAAAGCTGGCAGGGAGGCAGAAGAGTGCCCTGCCCTGTCCTAACCCCCCTCACCCACAGGAGTGCAGTTGCTGTCTGGAAGGGCATCATCGAGGGGACGGCGCACGCCGGGCAGGTCCGTGTCACTGCCTCAGAGGGCTACCGCACCCTCGCCGCGGAGGCCACCCGGACCGCCCGCATCTCCAAGGAGCGGATGCTCAAGAAGGTACCCAGGGCGAGGACGTGTCCCCCATGCCCAGGCGGTGGGGGCAGCTGGCCCCCCGCCCGCT